AGGAGAGGCTCATGGTAAACGACTTCATTATTTTCACTAGAATAGGCAAGATTCTCATTTGAGGGGCTATGGGACAGCAGGAGCCAAGGGAGGTTTGAGGAAAGATGTAAAGGTTTAGAAGTGTAATGGTGAGTAGGAGAGTGAGTTAATTAGGGAAGTGTAAAGCACATTGCCCCTCTTTAGTGATGGCTCAGTTGAAGTTATGAAACACAAAAGTGAAGTGGACCCCGTCAACATGGTTTTGTGATTTTCTCAAGGTTCTGTCCTGGTCCATCTTCTCTTTTCTTTCTATACTCTCTCACTTGGGGGAATTTCATTGGTTGTCATGGTTTACATCATTATCTTCATCATCTCTTCAGATGACTCAGGTTTAAGTGTTTATCCCTGTCTCCCTTCTGTGCTCCAGGCCTACATCTCAGACTGCCTGATGCAGAATTAGAGCTTTAAACTGGTCATTGATTGATAACTCGAGATAGGGGAATGCTTAGGGTCCCTTAATCCCAAGGTTTTTTATTATTTTCCTTGAATTCCTCATCTAGTTATTCCTGTGACTTCTATCATTGATTTTCAGGTTCTGGCAGGCATCTCTGTGTTGATTTGATTGGTCTGTGACACTCAGTTTTTAGATCAAGTCATGTCATTTTTTCAAGGGGATGCATGAACCACACATGCCAACAGTCTTCCCCAATTATTTTGCTCTTTATTTCTGTAAGCCCTGTTTGGTAATTGGAGTTCTTCCAGTCTCCAGTGAGAGAAATGAGGAAATACGGTGAATTCAGAAGGCCCTGGCGGGCTTGTCCATGTGATCCTCACAGCCTGGTGGTCTGTCTGGGCACTCAATGCTACTTTGAAAATGTATGTTGGACTTTTGCCAGAAATCGGAGTCAACCTCCTTGGCCTGGAATTTTCAGATTGGCCTTCTTCCCATTCTTGAAGATCCCCTTCCCTCTTATGCCATCTCTGTCATGTCTCCGCCATCTCTGCCAGTGACTTAGCATGCCCAATGTCCAGATCTCTCAAGTTTCACGTGGACTTGGAAATGGGGATTCAGAAATAAGAGCCGGGGACTCTCTCCTATCATCTCATTCACATCAGCTATTATCTCCTTCCACTGAAGCGTTCTCCCTCCTGCAAAAGTAATACAACTCTAGAAACACAAACAATTGGAGAAATTCTTCCTTATTTGACGAGAATCCTGGAGAAAATGGTCAGTATCCTGACTGAGAAGAGAGACAGACCAGCATCTTACTGTAGCAAATTTCAAATGAATCTCTTACCTAAGTAATATTTTTTGGGGAAAAAGAATTATCAGGGGCAACTAAGTGGCGCAGTGGATAGACCACTGGCCCTGGAGTCAGGAGGACCTGAGTTCAAATCTGGCCTCAGATGCATGATACTCACTGTGTGACCCTGGGAAAGTCACTAAATCCCGATTGCCTTGCCAAAAAAAAAAAAAGCTAGAAAAAAAGAATTGTCATTGGATGGAATGATGCCCCTTTCACACCTATAGTTAGGGAAAGAATTCATAACCAAATAAAAAAGTAAGAAACATTTAATCCCATGAAATTTTAAAACTTTTAAGCCAAGAAAAAACAATGTAAAGAAACTGGTGGGAAAAAAAATCTTCATGTTAAATCTGTTAGCAGTCTAATGTTTAAGCTATGTATTTCTGAAGTAACTTGGGGGATATTTAGTACTATAACTCAACATAGATGTTCCTAAAAGTCACTGTGCTTTGCAAATCACAGTAAAAACTACAGGGTTTATGGGGGTTATGGGGACAACACTCAAAACTTTGTCACTGACAAAAAATACAAACAATAACGGTAACATAGCTTTATATGAGTGAAATGATTGAAAAATACGTATAATACAATACTGCTGGTATTTGAGGTCTCAGGCTGCTGCTCAGCCTGCACCCTGGGTCCCACAGGATCCATGCTGATGAAGTCAAAGAGGATGGTCTCAGTGGGCCATAACTTCAGAGTGAAAGGGAGGGGCCTTGGCCATGGCAGCATGTAGGAGGGGGTGGAGTTTGTGGGTACAGATCAGCACTCCTACTGCACCAGAAGATATGGACTATGACATCTACCTGGAAAAAGACCTGAAGTTTGCATGTGGAAGTGGGCCTCAGAAGTTTGCAGGTTTTGTGAGCTACTATAAAATGCTATTTTCTGCATTTTCACTGTATCTGGACAAAATCTTGCATAAGTAAATGTGAAATTTGAGTAAAAGTCAGGATATTCACTAGTATGTTGGAACAAATTTGAACTTTCCAAAGTTAAAGCAGAATTGACTATACTTATCGGTTTCTGAACCTTTTAATTAAGCACCTATGATGTGCCAGGCAAAGTTCTGGGTGCTGGGGATGTGAAAACTGCAATAATCCCTGCTCTCAAGGGCTTCTGTATTGGAGGAAATGTGCACATAGCTAAGGAGGTGCATACTAACTAGATCTAGGATACATACAAAATACGCGGAAGGTCATTAAATATAAGATTGAGAAAGGAAAACATGAGCAGAAACCTAGTCATATTACAATAAGGCTTGATTTGGTCATTATCCCAGTCTCCATCCTTGCTCTGTATCCATCAGATCTCAATGAGGCTTTAATTTGTGTCTCTTAAATTAACTGATAATCTGTGTTGCCTTCAAATATCATATCCTGAGTCCCCATCCACATGGGAAAGAAACAGGCTGAATCAGCCATTAATTCCTATCATTGTAAGCAAAAAGAAGACCTAGAATCTGAACTTTGCAAGGACACTGAATGCAGGCATCTTTTCCGTATTCTCCCTAAGTGATGGTCACCCAGGCTCTGCATATTTCTAGGTCTTGTGAGCTGACTTCATGGTGGGGCAGCAGTGAGGTGTGGCAAGAAGACCAGGAGGGTGGAGGTTAGGAGACTTCCCAGGATTTCATTCTACTTCTGGAATTTTGCTATTATATTTCTTGGCGTTGTCAATTTGGGATCTCTTTCAGATGGTGATCGGTGGATTCTTTCTATGGTTATTTTCCCTTCTGGTTCTAGGACTTCTGGGCAGTTTTCCTTTATGATTTCCTGAAAGATACCGTCCAGGCTCTTTTTTTCATCATGATTTTCAGGTAGTCCAATAATTTTTAAATTGTCTCTCCTGAGTCGATTTTCCAGGTTGGTTGTTTTACTGATGAGGTATTTTACATTTTCATCGATTTTTTCATTTTTTTGTTTCTGTTTGTCTGAGTCTTGCTCTCTCATAGAGACATTAGTTTCCACTTGTCCAATTCTAGTTTTTAACAGATTGTTTTCTTCTGTTAGTTTTTGTACTTCCTTCTTCAACTGGCCAATTGTGTTTTTTAGGGACTTGTTTTCTTCAGTGTACTCTTCTGTTAGTTTTTGTCTTTCCTCCTTCAATTGGCTAATTGTGTTTTTTAGAGACTTGTTTTCTTCAGTGTATTTTTTTCCAACTGGCCAGTTGTATTTTTGAAGGACTCTTTTACCTCTCTCATTTGACTATTAAAATCCTTCTTGAGCTCTTCTAAGAAGGCTTTTTGGGCTTCAGACCAGTTCATATTCCCTTTTGTTGTTGCAGATGTGGGTTTGTTGACAGTGTTGTCCTCTTCCGAATTTCTGTCTTGATCTTCACTCTTCTCATAATACGAATCTATGGTACGTTTCTTTTTACTCACGGTGTTTCTTTATTCCCTGGCCTTTAAAGAGATTGAGCTCTCCTGCTGGGGCACAGAGGGTACTGACCCAAGCTTCTTGTGTTGGGAGCCTAGGTTTTGGTCACTGGCTTTGCGTTCTGGGGCCTCTTATGCTGGGAATTGGAGGCTGTAGGTTTCTGGCAGCTTACCTCATGTTGGGCTGGAATCAGCAAGGCTGGAACTTTCAGGCAATTCTAGGTTGCCTGCTTTTCCTTTCTTTTAGCTTTCTTCCGCTCCTTTTAGATGGCTGCTGCAGGATGTTTATCTGCCTGGGGCCCCCTGCAGTGTTGTCTCCCTCGTTTCTGCTAATGCACCAGGAGATTCCTTTGCGGTGGATTGCCGAGACTCCTGGTGGTTTTCTGAGCTGGTTTCCACCGGTTCCTCCCACCCTCACTGAGGCACTTGGAGGTCCAGGTGTTGGTGTTTGCCTGCTCTACCACCTGGGCTTCAGGATCTCTTCACAATTGGGGGCTTCAGGGCTCCTACAGCTCACCTGGTGTTGGGCTGGAATCAGCAAGGTCGGGGCTTTAGGAAGCCTTTAGGTTGTTTTCTTCACCTCCTTTCAGATGAATGCCACAGGGTACTAATCTGCCTGGGGCCCCTTGTTTTTGCTGAGGCACTGGGAGACCCGTTTGCTGGGCTGCTGCACTGCTGCTCCTTGTCTTCTAGTTCAGGTGTTCCAGGGTTTTTTTTCTGGGTTTTCAGAGGTTGATAAGGGAGAGTGAGAGCAACTACCTTTTCACTCCGCCATCTTGGCTCCCAGAAGCGGAACGATTTCATTTTACTTCTACTACTAATTAGTTGTGTGACCTTGAGCAAATCACTGAATTGTTCTGAGCCAGAGGATAGGGTTAGACACTTTAGTAACTGTTTTCTTTACCTCCCAAGAACTGATGTGAGGATCAGTGGAAGCATTCAAAACCTATGAGTGATAATACCAGCTAAGTATCATTAATTCTATCCTTTAAATTGTGGCAATAATTGTGGTTTGGAATGCTGTAATCTATTAATGCCTACTATTTGCCAGGCGCTATGAAATGATTTCCAAATATCTCATTTGATCCTCACAGCAATCTTGAGAGGCAGGTGCTATTATGATCCCTGTTTTACATAGGAGGAAATTGAGGAAGGCAGCAATTACATGACTTGCCCAGGGTCATCTAACTAGTAAGCATCTGGGGCTGGATTCGAGCTGAGGTCTTCCTGATTGCAAATCTGATGCCTAGTTTCCTCTTCTGTCAAAAAGAGATATGAAATAGGATTGTGTTCAGCAGATGGATACAGACAATATTTCCATTTTCTTTATCTTTCAGATGTGGAATCCAGACCTGAAACCAAGGACTTCCCTCCAGAGATGGTTATTTTTATGGAGCCTTCATCCCAGCATAGACTCAAGCAGAGCAGTGAAGAGAAGAATTCTCAAGAAGTAAAAATGACCCAGGTGAAAACTCCTGCTAAAGTGAGAGGCTGTGACTGTGGCCAAAGCATCAGGCTAGAACTAATGCTTTTCTCAAAACAGAGGATCTCTATAGCAGAGAGTCTTCACGAATGTGATGCACATGGAAGGAAATTCATTGTGTCTTCAGACCCAAGTAAATGTCAAAGAATATCCTCAAAGGAGATAGTTTCCCATGATAATGAGTGTGGAGAATCCTTTATTTCTAACCCAGATTTTATTGAATATCATAGACTATGTGCTGGAAAGCAGCCTAATGACTATAATGACTTCGAGAGAGCTGTCAGCCTCAGCCAATTCATTCATTCTTTTGAGACAAATGAGGTTGAAGAGAAAACCATTAACTGTAATGAATTGGGGGAAATTTCTACCCAGGATATTCAGTTCATGGAGTGTCAGAGAATTCACACTGGATTGCAGTCTTATGAATATAGTGAATGTGTGATGCCTCTCAATCACAGCTTCTCTTTTGCTTCCCATCAAAGGAGTTATACTGATAAGAAACCTTTAGTATGCAATGCATGTGGAAATGTCTTCCTCTGGAGTGCCCAGCTTACTCAGCACCAGAGAATTCATGCTGGAGAGAAGCCTTATGAATGCCATGAATGTGAGAAGGCCTTCTGCCTGAGAGAATCACTTACAAGGCATCAGAGGATTCATACTGGAGAGAAACCCTATGGATGTAATGAATGTGGGAAGGCCTTTCGCCGTAGAGGGCAGCTTACTAGACACCAGAGAATTCACACTGGAGAGAAACCTCATGAATGTAATGAGTGTGGGAAGGCCTTCTACCAGAAAGACCAGTTTACTCAACATCAGAGAATTCATACTGGAGAGAAACCTTATGGATGCAAAGAATGCGGAAAGGTCTTCCGAGTGAGAACACAGCTTACTCAACATCTGCGTATTCATACTGGAGAAAAGCCTCACAAATGTAATGAATGTGGGAAGGCCTTCAGGCAGAGGGGCCATCTTACTGTACATCACAGGATTCATACTGGAGAGAAACCTTATGATTGTAATGAATGTGGAAAGTCCTTCCGACTGAGTACAGAGCTCACTCGACATCAGAGAATTCATACTGGAGAGAAACCTTATGGATGTAATGAGTGTGGGAAGGCCTTCCGACTGAGCACAGAGCTTACTCGACATCAGAGGGTTCATACTGGAGAGAAGCCTTATGGATGTAATCGATGCGGGAAGGTCTTCCGCCAGAGCACACACCTTACTCAACATCAGCGTATTCATACTGGAGTGAAGTCTCATAATGTAATTTATGCAGGAAAGCCCATCTTCTGAGCACACAGCTTACCAAACATTGGAGAGTTCCATAGAGAAATTTTTGAGTGTAATATGGAAAGGCTGATGATTGTGGGAGCACTATATTACACCTCTGCTCCCACCCCCATGCAGGTTAGGCTTGTTTTCCTTTAAAAATGGACATTTCTCATGTCTTGGCTGGCTCAGGGGACTAAGGACTTTTGATTACTGATGTCACTTCCTCAGCCTCTGAGTACAAAGCAGTCATGAAGACCTAGAAGGGGGGAGTGTGTCTTTTTAAAAATGTTTATTTTTTAATGCTCATTTTAAAAAATTTAGAGTTCCAATTCTCTTCCTCCAGTCCCTTCTTCACCCATTGAGAAGGCAAGCAATATGATACCCATTATACATGTGAAATCATGCAAAACATTTCCACATTAGGCATGTTGCAAAAAAAAAAAGAAAGAAAAAGAAAGGATAAAAAATCTACTTCAATCTGCACTCAGAGTTTATCTGTTTTCTGAAGGCAGATAGTACTTTCCTTCATGAGTCCTTTGGAATTCTTGAGGATAATTGTCTTGATCAGAGTAGCTGTCTTTCACAGTTGATCAATGTTACAATGTTGCTGTTACTGTGTATGATGTTCCCCTGGTCCTGCTCACTTCACTTTGCTTTATCAGTTTATATAAGTCTTAGGTTTTTCTGAAACCATCTTCTATCATTTCTTATAGCACAACAGTATTCTGACACTATTATGACATTTAAAATGTTCGAGAGACATACTTTCTGGGTAATTATTTTATTAATCATGCTAGCATATTATTAATATAAAGGATGGTCATTTGACCATCTCTCTTAATCCAAAGATGACTCATGGTAGTGGGCTCACAGTTTATATGCCCTTGTGAGAGTGGATGTTCCTGAGGGTGATAATCAACTCTGATTGGTTAACAGTGAGAGAGAGTGAAAATAATAAAGAGAGGACCTGTCCTAATGAGGGGATTGGGGATGTGACTTTGATCATCACATTTCGTTCCAAATCACCCTCAGCCTAGGGAAATCTAGACTAAGGATCTATATCCCCCCACCTGGGTAGCAATGCATAGATTGAGGAGAATGTCAATCCTATCTGTTATCAATCAGTTCTGTCCTTCTGAGGCTGAGCCATGAAATGAGAACTTAAGAAAAAGGGAGGAAACTGCATCTCCCCAAATAGTCAGTTATTAACAATTGTTTTTCCTCATAAACCGCATTTTGTTCAGCTATGCCCCAGTTGATGGGCATCTTCTCAACTTCCAATCTTTGGCATTACAAAACACTGTTATAAATGTTTTGTACATAGGGGCCCTTTTCCTTTGATCTCTTTAGGGTACAGACTTAGTAATGTTTGGTGGTTGTTCTTTGTTCTAGAAGAGGACCAAAATGACGTCACTATGCTAGAGTCAAGTTATAGTGCATCTGACTGGCTGATCAGACCAGTGCAAGCTCAGAGTACCACAGATTGGGCACAAATAATCCATATGAACATTTGGAAGTGGATTGTCTAAATTTGTTCATCTTGCATTTCTTTTGAGCTACTTCAATTCTGTTTTGCTCATAAAATAGCACCTACTGTGATGGGGGCAAGCCATGCTGGGTGGTCCTGTGCCACACAATTGATTCCAAAGATCTTCAGAGAGATCTTGAGAGTGTCCTTGTATCGCTTCTTCTGACCACCATGTGAGTGCTTGCCCTGTGTGAGTTCTCCATAAGATAGTCTTTTTGACAAGCATACATTTGGCATTCAGACAGCGTAGCCAGCCCATCAGAGTTGCACTCTGCCGTAGAATGCTTGGCAGTTTATTTTGATAAAGGGTCTCAGTGTCTGTTATCTTCTCCTGCCAGGTGATCTTCAGAATCTTCATAAGACAATTCAGATGGAAGTGATTCAGTTTCCTGGCATGGCCCTGGGAGACTGTCCAGGTTTTACTGGCGTACAACAACGTCAGCAATAGCTCAGTGGCTCTGTAGTCCTTCAGTCTGGTAGTCTAATACTTCTTCTCTCCCATACTTTCCTTTGGAGCCTCCCAAACACTGAGCTAGCTCTGGCAATGTGTGAGTATATGCATCAACTTCATCAGTTTGTACATCCCTGGAAAGTACACTGCCAAGGTAAGCAGATTTATCCATAGCATTCTAAATTCCATCTGCTGTAACCGTTGGTTTCTTGTCGGGCTGCTGTGGTGCTGGCTGATGGAGCACGTGTGTGTTCATGGTGTTTTCAGCCACGTCAGACACCTTCAGTGAGGAGGAGCATGGCATCAAGGTCAGTTACCGTGCTGATAGTAAATTCTTCAATTGGAAAAGGCTACAAGCCAGGACCAAAGTGGAGGGAGTGTTGGTGCATGATTTTTTGTTTGCAGATGATTGTGCATTCAGTGCAGCCTCTGAAGCTGAGATGTAAGGAAGTATGGATCGATTCTCTGCTGCTTGTGCTAATTTTGGTCAAGTAATAATATTGCTGGGTCAAGGGGTATACACAGTTTGATAGCCCTTAGTGCATAGTTCCAAATTGTTCTCCAGAATGATTGGATCAGTTCATAACTCCACCAACAGTGCATTAGTGTCCCAATTTTCCCACATCCCTTCCAGCATTTATGATTTTCCTTTTCTGTCATGTTAGCCAGTCTGACAGGTGTGTGGTGGTACCGAAATTGTTTTAACATACATTTCTCTAATTATTAGTGATTTGAGGGGATATCTTTTGAGGGCTTAGCTGGTGGACCATGATGGGCAAAGGAGCTTCACTCAGTTGAATCAACTTGAGATGTCCACAATGTTGATCCTTATTGAATATCCTTCTTTCGTTATGGCTAAGTAAATCTTTTCTTTTCTTTTTTTTTTTAATATAAATTTGTTTATTTTTAGCTTTCAACATTCACTTCCACAAGTTTTTGAGTTCCAAATTTTACCCTATCTCCCACCTCCCCCCACCCCAAGATGGCATGCATTCTGAATATCCCTTCCCCTAGTCTGTCCTCTCTTCTACCTCTCTCCCCTTCTCTTATCCCCTTCCCCTTCTATTTTCCTGTAGGGCAGGATAGACTTCTGTACCCCATTTCCTGTATTTCTTATTTCCCAGTAGCATGTGAAAACATTTTTCTTTAAAACACATGTTTTTAAAACTTTACGTTTCAAATTTTCTGTCTTCCTCCCTCCCTACCCACCCTCATTGAAAAGGCAAGCAACTCAATATAGGTTGTACATGTGCAGTTATGCAAAACACGTCCATAGTTGACATGTGAAAAACTAACTCTATTTCCCTTAATCTTATCCTGCCCTCCCATTTATTCTATTCTTTCTTTTGACCCTGTCCCTCCTCAGAAGTATTTACTTCTGATTACCCCTTTCCCAATCTGCCCTCCTCTCTATCATCCCGCTGCTCTCTTGTCCCCTTCTCCCCCTATTTTCCTGTAGGGTAAGACAGATTTCCATACCCAATTGAATGTGTATGTTATTCCCTCCTTAAGCCAAATCCTATGAGATTAAGATTCACTCATTCCCTCTCACCTTCCCCTTTCCCCTCCACTGTAAGAGACTTTTCTGTTTTTTTTTGTGAGATAATTTACCCCATTCTACCTCTCCCTTTCTTCTTCTTACCCTCTCTCATCCCTTAATTTTATTCTCCAGATATGACTCCTTAATCTTCAACTCACCCTGTGCCCTCTATCTATCTATCTACATATACATACATATAATTTTTTTCCTCCAACTACCCTAATACTGACAAAGGTCTCATGAGTTATAAATATCATCTTTCCATGCAGGAATGTAAACAGTTCAATCTTAATAAGTCTCTTATGATTTCTCTTTCCTGTTTACCTCTTCATGTTCCACTTGAGTCCTGTATTTGAAAGTCAAATTTTCTATTCAGCTCTGGTCTTTTCATCAAGAATGCTTGAAAGTCCTCTCATTTCACTGAATGACCATTTTTTCCCCTGAAGGATTATACTCAGTTTTGCTGGGTAGGTGATTCTTGGTTGTAATCCTATCTCCTTTGCCCTCCGGAATATTACATTCCATGCCCTGCGGTCCTTTAATGTAGAAGCTGCTAAATCTTGTGTTATCCTGATTGTGTTTCCACAGTACTTGAATGTTTCCTTCTGGCAGCTTGTAATATTTTCTCCTTGACCTGGGAACTCTGGAATTTGGCTACAATATTCCTAGGAGTTTTCCTTTGGGGATCTCTTTCAGGAGGAGATCTGTGGATTCTTTCAATTTCTATTTTGCCCTCTGGTTCTACTATATCAGGGCAGTTTTCCTTGATAATTTCTTGAAAGATGATGTCTAGGCTCTTTTTTTGATCATGGCTTTCAGATAGTCCAATAATTTTTAAATTCTCTCTCCTGGATCTATTTTCCAGGTCAGTTGTTTTTCCAATGAGATATTTCACATTGTTTTCTAATTTTTCATTCTTTTGGATTTGTTTACTGTGTCTTGATTTCTCATAAAGTCACTATCTTCCAATTGCTCTATTCTAATTTTTAAGGAAGTATTTTCTTCAGTAATCTTTTGGACTTCCTTTTCCATTTGGCCAGTTTTTCTTTTTAGGGCATTGGCTTTTTGGACCTCTTTTGCCATTTGGGTTAGGCTATTTTTTAAGGTGTTATTTTCTTCAGTATTTTTTTGGGTCTCCTTTAGCAAGCTGTTGACTTGTTTTTCATGATTTTCTTGCATCACTCTCATTTCTCTTCCCAGTTTTTCCTCTACTTCCCTTACTTGCTTCTCAAAATCCCTTTTGAGCTCTTCCAAGGCCTGGGACTGATTCATATTTTTCTTGGAGGCTTTGGATGTAGGAGCTTTGACTTTGTTGTCTTCTTCTGGTTGTATATTTTGATCTTCTTTTTCACCAAAGTAAGATAATATAGTCTGACTCTTTTTGTGCTGCTTGCTCATGATCCCAGCCAATTACTTGAGTTTTAAACTCTTTGTTAAGGTAAGAGTCTGCTTCCAATGTGGAGAATGTACTGTCCCAAGCTTCAGGGGTTTGTACAGCTGTTTTCAGAGATACTTGCAGGGCCCTGTAAATTTTCAGTTCTTCCAAGGTGGTATGATAAGGGGCGAGATGTTTACTCCTTTCCTGGCCTGTGACTACAAGTACTCCTTTCTGTCCTGTAACTGTGTTCTGTGTAACTCTCCACAATCACTACAAGCTCCACCACACCAGCGCTGCTCCCAGAACTGTGACCCAGATCCAAACACGGGCAAAGGAAGAGATTCCTGCCTCAGCACTGGCAAAGAGATCCCTGCAATCCCTCTCTGATCAGCCACTGGATTCCCCCTCAGTCTGTGGGCTGGAAGCTTGGGAAGCAGCTGCCCCCCCAGGGCCACGCTCTTGGGGAAT